TGAGAAAAACGTATGTCGACATCAAATCCCGATGCCATCGATCCCGATACCATTCGGATATTTTACCAACACCCTTGGATTTTCTCATTAGGACACGTTTTTTCTCAATGTATTGCGTAATACGCAATTAACAATAGTAACTTATATATATATATATATATATATAGTAAATTATATTTAACTATATTTTTAATTTATTCACCATATACATATAGAAAACATATACTTTGAAAATATTAAGTTAAATTAGATCAACCTATTTATATAGTCCCACGAACTGTTTGTGTTTAGACTTATCTAAGTCTACTATTAATACATATTATTTGGAACTTAAATAGTATCCAGTATAAAGTATGTCCATAAATTTTATACTGTAAGAGAATTTAAATTATCGTACCTATTACTCTATAATACGGTACTGTATAATATTTATACAACGAATATAACATTTTACAGATATTCATAATGCATATACAGTATGTATATATGTTATCAGTACCGAGTGTAGGCTATTAATGATACATTTGTTCTCGTTACCATAGTCATCAATCATCAATCTAATAATTTAATTGAAAGATTATCATCTATATTACAAATCAATATCAATATATACTAATACATTATTTACAATCAGATACAAATGAGTAAAGCTCTACCACAAACGAATATTCATATCCCAGAGCATAATTTTCAATATTTGCATAATATATGAATATTCAAGTCAAACGCGTCAGTTATTGCAAATTCATGCCATTCGTCATGTGTCATTGATGATGATGATGATGATAATGATGATGATGACGATAACAATAATAATAATAATAATAATTATTATTATTATTATTATTATGTATACTTTGTTGTTGTTGTTGTTAATAATACGTTGTTGTTGCTTATTTTATTTATAATAGCAGTAATTAATAATAATAATAATATTAATATTGTTGACATTTGAAAAATCACAAAAATATTCATTCTATTAAAAATTATTGTTAAATTTGACTAGCCTTGCATGGATTTGTGACGTTCACGCATCATAATATCATAATAATAATAATAATAATAATAATAATAATAATAATAATAATAATAATAATAATTATAATGGGATACTTATATAGCGCATATATTGTTAAGCCCTCTATGCGCTTCACATTATCATTACCCCGGTCATTGGATTAAACGCCTATGGAACACAAACTCAAGCTACATGGGGCAGTATTCCATAACGGGAGCGCATTTTGGCATTTAACCCTACCAGGTACCACTTATAATCCTGTGTGGAGAGAAGCAATGTAGATAAAGTGCCTCGCCCAAGGACACAAGGGAAATGCACGGCGAGGGACTGAAATCCCGACCTCGAGGTTGGGAAACCAAACCGTTCCCGCTGCTTGAAAGAATAATGTACTATATATAATAATTACTTAATAGTAATGTAATAAAAACAAATACCGTAACTGCAATGATGATGATGATGATGATAATAATAATAATAATAATAATAATAATAATAATAATAATAATAATAATATATGACAATAATTACTTATAACAAACAACAGAAATAATAATAAGGATGATAGTAATAACAATAAATGGTAAGGATAATAATAAGAATAAAAATAATAATAATAATTATAATAATAATAATAATTATAATAATAATAATAATAATAATAATAAACAAATCAAATAAATAAATAAAACAATTGTCGTCTTCATTTTCAAGGTATTATATATAGAACGCAAATATATAAAGCATAATAATATATGAAGCGAAATATAACTTTATAATATACCGTATTATAAATGAATAATAGCTCCTATTTATATCTCTGAATGTCAAAAAATATATATCTATTCTATCTAAAACCATATTCGATTGCAATTAACTGTAATCGTATTATTATTCTAAAAACAAATTTATTGTAAATCGATTAATTCGTGAGTAATAATAATAATTGTCTAACCACAAAATCGAAGCTTAAACGATCAAACATTGAGAAACAGGGAGAGAAATTTTATCTTTTACATTAGGCCTAGGTTTTATAATTAAATGCAATACAGTGTAGCGATTGTATGGAAATCAGGTTTAAATTACTGAAAAAGGTAAGAGGTACTCTTAGATCTATGAATATTTGTGTAAATTGTACTCTTGTATCAAAAAATCTATCTCATCACGTGATCATCTTTCATATCACTTTGGTTAATGCCTCCATTCCCACATCAATATAAAAGGGTAATCCATTACTTTAGCGTTTACGCTGGTCATAATTATGTAATGGTTACTATTCTAATTCCATTTTTATCGTACGAGTTATATCAACTGTATAATGTACCGTATCATCGAAGATACTAGAAACACAAGATAGAGTTCTCCACACAAAAAAAAAAGTGTTCCACCGAAATGCATGGTGGGAATACAAACAATGGGACGCCCCTTACAGCTGGATCTAAAAAAACTTCAACCAAACTTTCGTTACCAAGTCGTCGCGTATTTTATTGTCAATTCTCAATTAAAAAATTTTACACAATTGTACAATTAGTACAATTGTACCCAGATAGTGACAACGGTGAATACATAATTCCGTCGGGCACGAAGTATGGAAAACTTGCATGATTAAAAAGAAGGGCGCCGCCTACGTCGGGCACGATTTCCGCCTCATTTTTAGTACGCGAGTGCTCTATCTTGTGTTTCTATATCTTTGGTATCATGTGTTGTTCCACAAACGCACGTGTTTACGCACATTTTAACTTGTCGTTAACAACCATATCTATGGGGTGGGGTCGTAGCTGAAAGTTTGTTTGAAATCAACTGATTTAACTTTTCATATAACGAAAGGAGATTTAATTTGTTACAATGTATGCCTATCAATAAAATATCAATACAAACTGTGAATAAATTTAAATGGTAATCACCGAAGATACCAAATGTGTGAATCATCGTAAGTAATAAACTTAAAATATTGCATTTGTATGTGACGATATGTACAGTCGATCATAACACAAGTACGAAATGAATTGAACATGCGACTTAAGTTATTCAGTATTGCGAAACTTTTCATCATCGAACTTGCGATGGCTGACATCCATATAGACAATAATTTAAAAATATTTTTACACTATATTTACAAATATATATATATATCTGTCTCTTATAAAAGGAAATCCAAGGCCACTCACGGCAACATCGACAAGCCCAATGCTGGATGCCAAAGTATTGCATCGTTGTTTAATTGGTCATAAAATATGAGCAATATTGTTAGAAATGCTATTGTTCCGCATATTAAACAGTATTTCAATTAGAGAAAATTCCCAAAGATCAACACAATAAATATACAATACTTATAACGCATTCCAATTTCAAATTCAGGCAAACATAATGCGTTTACGTTTTACAATATTGTTCCGCATAGTTTGCAGACCTATTATTCCATTTGCATGAACTACTTTAAACAGCTATTTTAACAAAACTGAAATAATTCGGTTTAATAGGAAACAAGCCATCATACACTGGATGGACCGGCTTAGAAATTTATTCAGAAGTATAAAACAGATTTATATAAACTATTTTAACGCTTCAAAAACGATTTATCGTTTAAATAATTTTACTAAAACTATTTCTGTCAGAAAATTAAAGCACAGGTTTGTAATTTTAGCAATGGCGTCACATTTGTTGCAAATACGTATTTAGGCCCTATTACTATAATATATATATATTTATTTATTTATTTTATATTTATTCTTGCATATTTTGATCAATATTCTTAATTTCATTGTCTAATTCCTCGTCAGAGAAGTCGTCTATATCGTCTAAGGCGTCATCTTCGTTTTCAGCTTTGACGCTGTCTTTCTTCTCGCTCGCCATGCTTGATTCGTCATCACCTTTCTCATTTTTCTCAAAGTTATTCTTCTCTTGTAAACTCTCCTTTTCCTCCTTATTATCATCTGGTGATTTATTCTCCACCTTTTCCTCTTCAATAATTTGCTTTTTATTATTCTTTGATTTCTCTTTTTTCTTCTCTTCTTTTGCCTTTTTCTTTTCCTCTCTTTCTTTCATTTTCTTCTCCTTCTTCTCCTGCTTCTTTCTTTCCTTTTCTAAACGCTTCTTTTCTTTCTCCTCGTCATCGTCGTCGTCGCCTACTCCGAGATTCTCTATTTTAAGATCGGAACAATCCCAGATGCGAACGCTGCCGTCATGTGATGCAGTGTATAACCTCTTTTCAATGATCTAAATATAAAGTTAAAACAAGCAAACTAAATTATTTGCTAATGCTGACGGTGCCTATCATATCATTGTGAAAAAAATATAACAATACTATACTGTATTATCCCACAAAAAATAATTTCGCTAAAGTGGGAGTTTTTAAAATGAAGACATTAAAACAACACAGAAAAATGCACATATCCAAATTTTAAAATTTGTAAAAACAAAAAACGTCTACAAATAACCACCAAAATACTCGGGGATTCACATGGTAAATTTTATTAATTAACACACTATATTGACGACACGCGCTTAAATGCAGCATATAATTTACAATCGATATTGCCATGAAGACATACATAATAATATACATAATATATTGATTCTATAATGATAAAGTATTTATTTTCATTTAAGATAATTGATTAAAACTAAAGTGTATTATTTCCAGAACTACAATGCAAAACATCTACATTATTACCTTAGAACATAATACATTCATAAAAAATTGTGAAGTATTATGTTAAATTAAAACATACCGGGATTTGGATATATTTTATTTTGTGCCTACTGCGCACTCAATGCGTCGAAAACGACGGAAATATCCGTTGATTGGTAGGATTTATTTGGCAATAAATAATAAAACAATTTTACATAACAATTACAACGATTTAGAAAACAGAAAGTATCTTACAAGTTATAAAAATATTTAGCACAAAAATGAAATTAAACAGCGTATCATTAGTTTTATGTTAAAAAAAAACACCCCAAATGTTAAATTCCAGAAAATCCTATTTATTGATGCGTTAATAATTTCAATGGGGTCTATAACTTGATTGTGTAATCTTGTTAAATATTTCATCAAATGTTATACACGCATAAGCCCGATACAGGGTATATACAGTAATCGCAAATAACTAAAGCTCTGTACTACTGTATGTGTGTTGGTAAATGTATTAAACTTAAAATGTATATGAGAAATTTATATGGTGTTATTTCGAAAAAATAAATATATAAATTTAAGAAAAAAAATTAAATATTAAATGTTTATGTGTGTATGATAATAAGGTACGTATGTATATGTATATGATTGGATCTGCACATTGTATGTGTTCCAAATCGTATACACAATTCTGAATGGATGCACTTTTTCAAAAATTGTTTTTGAGATAATGATTTAATTTAGAATGTTAACGTAAATGATAATGCAGGTAAAACCGAAGTTGAACAATTTAGTCAGCCATGGTGGACTGACCCCTATATCCTGTGCAATTTAATTTTAATTTCCTTGATTCTTGATATTTTTTATGTCGTTGATGACAAAAAAAATGTAAAAAATAACAAAAAGAGAAAGAAATAAAGGTGGGTGAAATCCCCACAAAAGAGAAAAAAAAATTAAAGCTCTGTCCAAATTATAGAATTATTAAAACTGTTGTATGCCCATATATAGTCATGATGTGCCTATATATGGTCATGATGTGATGTCATCATGACCATATTTAGGCATGTCACATGTTTTTATCAAATATAATTTGATAGTCTGGACAGGGTTTAACAGAAGAAGATCAAATGTACTACAGAGCATAAAAATGTATGTTGTATTGAGGTAAACGTAAACGAATTAATTCTAATACCGTAAAACCTCAAATAGAAGCCCAATGGGCTTAATCTCGAGAAGAAGCCCATCTATAGTTTGCAAAAGTAGCCTCGAAAATAAACCTAAGGGCTTCTTTCAAAGAAACAAAATAAATTAAAAACACGCTTGGTTTAAATGCAGTAGTCTAGGTGATTTAGTGCTGGTTAATACACCTTATGATACAGATTGATGTTACAGTGGCCCTATTTATTGTTTTGTAGTAGTCTCGTCTTCTTTAACGCCTTTTGTCATCCGACATAGCGCGTAATAATTCCCAAAATTTACAGCATTCATTTTGAAAAGAAGACCCCCCTCCCTCTTTACTTTGCAAAAGTAGCCTCGAAAAGAAGTCCATTTCAAAAAGAAGCCCATCCAAAGTTCGCAAAAAAAAAAAAAAAAAAAAAAAAAAAAAAAAAAAAAAAAAAAAAAAAAAAAAAAGCAAAGGGATTCAATTCGAGGTATTACGGTATATTATTTAATGAATATTTTGAATTGTAATTAATTTGCTTTATAGCTTTTAACTGACTGTTTTTTTAAAAATAAATTTCATCGCTAAGTATACATATTACGTCACTAATCTATACATACGTCTTTGAATTGACTAATAACACATTTAACGGTACCATTGGGAATTAAGAATTATAAATTTTGTTTCCTCCTGTGTTTGTTGTGTATCTTTAATAAATTAATACAATACAAATTATATTTTATATATCAGAAAATAAATTAAATTTGTATGTTAACGTTATAATAATATTGTTCAAAATGTACTTAACACTTCAATGACAAATTTCGGGAAGAGTGTTGTAAGCTTAATTTGCAAAGGACTGCAGTGCAGTGTCTGTGAAGTTTACCTATTGCTCTATACCTTTCTATATTATGATGATGACTAGAGGCTGAATGAATGAACATTTCCGAAGTTTTACGCACCGCACATTACGTTTGTATGTTTTATTTTAACAGTAATTTAATTCAATTTAAAAGCTGTATTTCAAAAACATATCCATAATGCCATTTCTATATCAAAATGAAATACAGTAAATGAAAAGTAAATGAGATAACATAATTAACAATACAATACTTTGTTCCGCTTCTGCCATGACCTACACTTGTTCAAAACACTATCACTAATCTAATAATGATTTAAAAAAAAAAAAAAAAAACTCTTTAAGTTATAATAATATATAATTATAATTTAGAAGACGATTTTAAATTTAAATAATTAACTGACATAATTTCATTAGCCATCGGGCTGAGTGAGCATCGTTAATGTCCTTAGATTCTTTATTGCTCGTAGACGTACAGTGAATCATTGTGTTAGTGTTTAGCGCTGTGATGAGAGCTTTTATTCATCAAGAAGACGAATAGAGTTCAACGAGGTTTTGGTAGCTATGGTGAATAATTCCACTCTATTGTGTTATACAGGTTTTTAATGTACTAGACTGTCGCAGGCAAAGGAACGAATGCCATTTCGTAATACCAAATAACGTTATGTTTCTTTTCATAAAAACATGTATATAATTAAAGAATAATATACCCTAAAAAGAATCTAGTTTCTGGTAGATCTTTGAACCTTTCACCCCAAAATTTAATCACCTCTTAGACCAATATCTACCACTAAATTGCATAACGACCCATTCATTAGTTTTTGCATAATAAAGAAACAAAGAGACAACGGACAGACAGCGGTGAATATATCACCTCCTTAGTGGAAGTAATAACAATTAAAAAAATGACAATTACAATGAAGATAATAAATAGAGATTAAAGAAGCTTACGAACGTGAGTCTATATATAGACCTACGAAGTACTAGAATATTATGAATTTTTATAGTATTTACTTACCGCTATGGCATTGATAGCAAATTCATGACCTTTAAAAGTTCGTTTCAATGTCCCGGATTTCGCATCAAATACCCTTGCGTTATTGTCTCCACTTCCTGTGTAAACTGAACGCAGAAAACATAACATTAAAATCATATTAGCCATGAGCATGAGGGACAGTTTCATGAAATACGGCTACAATATTAAAATGCGTCTGAAAGATTGATGGTGGTCCAGTTAGAATCGCATGCGCATATATATATATATATATATATATATATATATATATATATATATAGAGAGAGAGAGAGAGAGAGAG